CGGACGGGTAATGCAGTCCAGAAGACGCTACAGCTCCTATGGTGCTGTGGGGGCCCCAGTGGCCTGTGGAGGCGCTCGGCCCAGGGAAAACACTACATCTCCCAGCATGCATTGTGTTGCTTCTCCTCTACCCGCTTAGTGCGCAATTTCCTGGCGAACCGCTCCCTGCCCCAGAGGAAGGGCCCAACCCCGGCCTCAGCAAGGGGCGGAACGGTGCGTTGTTGGAGCTGTTCCGGCCTCCATTGCTGCTCAGCTGCTGTCCTTGGCGGGAGCTGGGGGTACGCGCACTGCACCGCTGACGGGAGCCAGTCGACTCCGGGCCCTGTTCCCGGGGGGTGCGGTTAGAGCACACACCCGGGCAGCTTCCGGTCACGGTTCCCCGTTGGGGGCTAGCAGGCCAGGGAGCGGACAAACGTCACTTGTGTGCGCGCGCAACACGTACCGCTCTGACTAGGCTGCGAGAGCCCGCAGCTCCCGCCTCGTTCCGGCCTGCCCCGCGGGACACAGCTCCGAGCGCATCGTGGGCGCCAGAGCGGCGCTACCAGCCGGGCCCTGTCCCCCGAGGGGCCCCGGGCGGGGCGTGTCGGTCCCGTGCAGCGGGAGCCGGCCGATCCTGACGCGCTCCCTCGCGCGGGGTTCTCGTTTGGCAGTTCAAAGCTGGTACCCGTGGGCCTGGCCCTGCCCCTCCCCCTCCGCTGGGTCAGGCCACGTGGGCTCTTGCAGGCTGCGGCGGGAAGGGAGGGGGAGTCACTCTGGGAGCAGGACCCGAGTGCCCACCTTGTACCGCTGCCATGGCACCATCTGACTGTCGCACCCCCTCGCTGCTGGAGCCCACAGCACTGCAGGTGTGTGCATGGGCTGGCTGGCCGGGGCCAGCGTTTGCATGAGCAGGCGTTTGCACTTCCTGGCTCCTGCAGCAAGGGGCAGGTTTGTGTCTATATTCACCTGCTACTTCTGCAGTCACTGAACTGACACACACTGCCTGGCCCCATTTTCCAATCGATCGCCATTCCCGTGTGATGCTTCTAACTCCACTAAGACGAGCGGGCTTCCAAAGTGCCAGAACTGGGGCAGTACATTGGCATCAACAGCATCACTTGACATAAGGATTAGGAACATGTATTGTGCTAATCATGTAGGCTGTGTCTAAACTGCATCTCTTTTCCATAAAATAAAGCCTTTAAGATAATGGATGTTTTGGAAAAGGCTTTATTTTCCGAAAGATCCATGTCTAGATATATTTTTACATAGGGTCATGCAGCTGCTGGGAGTCTGCTCACCCAATAATAGCAGGCTGATTTCCTATTTTTCCAAAAGTAATGAAAAGCAAATAGTTGGAAATAGCTACACAAAGATTAAGAGGACCGTTTATTATGTATAATCACAAGCCCATATGCAGGAATTTTGGTGGGGGGGTGCGCGTGCTTTTCTTGGTAAACGTGGACTGCATGGGTATGAACGCACCCTCCGATTCATGGTCTCTCAAGTAAGCATACTCTGGCTGGCTGGGGGGGATGCAGGAGCGGCATGCTGCCTGAGGCTCCCTCCCCCATGTTCTGGCCGGCCCAGGGGAAGGCTGGAACTGATTCCCACCCACCCCCCTTCCCAGGAGTGAGATTGAGGGCTGGGCCTTGCTCCTGGGGGAGAGGGAGAAATAATCAGCCCCAGCCTTTCCCTGGTTGGCCAAAACATGGGGGAGGGAGCTTCAGGCAGCGTGCTGCTCCTGCCTTCTCCCAGCTGGCTGGAGCATGCTCACTTGGAGGATGATTGGGGGGAGGAGGGAAGATGCATTCACACCCTTCTCACACTCCCTGGGTATGGGCCTGAATCATAACCATGCTGGAAGTGCAGGATTTGTTGGTATTAGTGGAGTCAAGGAAACAATGTCTCCTATACAGACTTGACATAGGAGATGGGACACTAGATTACATATCAGAGATGCCTCAGCACAGACTGAGTTTCCATGCAGGTAAGTCCAATAAGCTGCATCAGTTAATAGGTTAAAATGTCTGCCAAAACTGTTGCAGAGGCAGGCGGAAAGGAGGAACTGGGAGCACAACGTATACACCAGAGAAAGTCAAGAAGGAACCAATCTAACTATTTCACTCAAGCAAATAATGCTGCTGAAGTACATCACCCACCTCACAAAGTTGTATGGGAGCATTCTACCACCCTTTGTTTCTCTCTGAAAAAATTGTATCTTGAAAAGAGAGAGAAAGAGACTAACTGATGTGTGAAGGTCTCAGCTCATTAATTTTTTTCCATCACTACAACATTTTGCAAATTCCACAAACTTAAGTGTAACAATTTTTTTAAATAAAAACATCCAGGGATTTCTGAGTATTCAAACCTGTCCAACAAATGCTAAGACATGTCAAGTAAGGACACAAGATACTGTTTATAACTCCCGTTTAGTTTAATAAGTTAACAAGTTCAGGCCATTACACAGCAATGGAATTCTTCTTAAACATTTACAAAAGGTGCAGAATTTCATTCATTTAATCTTGAAATAATTCATTTTACTCTAATCTCTTAAATAGCTAAACAGTTCCTATGTTTTGTATTGAAATCAGGGGTTAAAATAATCCACCCACAAAGAAGGCGTCAAAGTACAAAAGAGCACAAGTGTAGGGCACTAGCTCAGGCTCAGTGTGGGTGTTTATTCCAGAACCTGTACAAGTGAACAAAGCAAGCTGATACCTGTGAAAGGAATCCTGGGTTGAGGGACACTCATGTAAAGCAGACAGCATCACAGGGTATATGCAAGCTTTAAAAAAAAAAAAAAAAATCAGAGGTTTCACTGTCTCTCTGCTACCATGGATAGGATACCTTTATTGTATACTTATCAATAGGAAGGAAAGAAAAAAGACAGCTGAAAGGAACTAATAAGATTTAAGTCACAGCTTCTGACCCATCTGAGATAACATTGGCTTGCTAATTGCACACAAGCCCCCAGCTCAATGGTTTTAATGTCTAACCCAAACAAAGATGTTCTCACAGGAAACAAGTCCCTTAGTAATGATTAACTCAGAGGAAATAGAAGAAAACTTCCATATATATAAGTTTATATATATATACACACACACACACACACACACACAATACTGTACATATGTACATGCATATTTTCATCTGAAAAGAAGGAATTAATTTAGCTGAGTAAAGAATGAGCAATTTGCAGTGGTCTGTATGAAACTTCTCAATATCCCCAACTTCCCCTCACAATCTTTTAAATAGCTAAACAGTCCCATTCTCTGCCAGGCCAGAATCCCCATTTCATTACCTCATTTCTTCTGACTGTGAAATCCTTAAATGTATTCAACAATTATTTGTAAGAAACACTGGTTTCATTGTTTAAATATACCAAGAAATGGGGAGGATTTCTGTAAGGCACACCACGAAATCTGTAAAAGTTAGTAATCTGACCCACTGAACATACCTCTCTTTTTCAATCAGTTCATATCATCACCTGTACAGAAAGAACCACACAATATAATGTTGTTACAAACGAACTCCCCCCCACACCCATACATGGAATTTGGTTCCATTAACAGGCATCTTTTTGAAATATCCTTCCAAATATCAGAGAGATCCATAACTCTGCCTGTCGCAGTTAAGCTTGCATGTGCCCCTAAAGATTTAAAGCTGCACAGCATCCCTTATATAGGTTTTTATTAATTGACAAGAGAGGGGATCACCTGTAGATTGAGGAAAGAAAATGGAGTTTAATTTTTCATTTACAGGCTTAAAGAACAGTCCCACCAGCCAATTAGCAAAGGACATTAAAATTAAAAGCTACTTTTAAAAAGACATTTCTTTAGCTGTGTGTTATTACTATCACATTTCAGATAGGGATGTTAAATTGCATTAAAGCAATTCATTGACTAGTCGATGGAATTTCCATCGACTAGTTGATAAGCGAAGGAAACTGGGGAGCTGCAGCAGGCTTAGCTCCCAACTCCAGGAGCTAACCCTGCTGTGGCTCTGCATTTTAAATGTATTAAGAGCTGACAGGCTCTTAATATATTTAAAAGGCTGAAGGGGGGGCCGGAGGGGGGAAGACCAAGCATGAGCTGGGACATCTGATTCCTGACTCAGCTAGTTACTTCCCCCCAGCACTGTCTCCACAAGGGGCAGGGGAGGATGAGGTGCGAGCCAGGAATCAGCTATCCTGGCTCCCACCTAGTCCTCCCCCACTGCACTTCTGCTTTTTCAATATATTAAAAGCCTGACAGTTCTTAATATACTTTAAAAATAGGTGCAGCACCTGGGACTGGGAACAAGCTGGAAATCAGCTGATTCCTGGTTTATGCCCGGTCCCCTGCTATGCCCCTGCCTCCCACAGAGACAGTGCTGGTTAAGCAGGCTCCCCCAGAACCAGCTCCTGCTCCCGCTGCCTGATAGAGGCAGCAAGGTGGGGAGAAGCAACTAGCTGAGTCACTACTTGACTATCCGATAAGCTTCTGCTTATCAGATAGCTGACTAGTCGCTTACTCCCTAATTTCAGACTAACATTCTCTTCCATTGTATAATTTTTGCATTATCTTCAGCCTGTGCAATGACACTGCAGTTTTACTTTGTTTTAGAGTCACTTTCACTTTTGGGTTCTCAAATGGCTAGCAGATTGTTGCACTATATCCACAGCAGATGTGTCAAAAGAGTGTATTTCTTCCAAAAATGGGGGAAAAAAGAAACCCAAAACTTTGCATTCAGTTTCCCTTCTACACACATTGAAACACTGCTATATGGTAAAGAACCCTTTTTTGTTTTTTGGAAATTTAAGTGTTTGACCCCAGTGACTCTTTAAGGATATGTCTGAAGCTTCAATCTAAACAGTCCATCTTCATTCCTGTGGATCCTGATTGTTACAGCATAATTCCAGTCATGGCACCAAGAAGAGCAGTAAAGTGGTTGAGCAGCAACAGCCTTTGTGAAAGGCAGGTTACACAGCAAACATTCTTGTGTAAGTACAAGCACAAAGAAAAAAATTAAGACTTAAGGTATCAGTTTTTAAAATAAAACCCTGTAGTACCTACTCCTTAAATGCATCACATTCTAGAAGTGTTTGGATATTAAAAACATACATGGCCTCTTTCACCTACAAGTATGCCACAGATGGATCAGTTACTTGAACTAATCCCGCTTAATTGTGAAGCTGAAGCATCACCATTCCTTATATCACGAACCCACATTTTACACAAGTGTCATGGGCAAAAGATCCAAAATCATCTGCTTGTGCTTGGTAGCAGCTATACATGCGGGAGAGGGAGGGGGGGGAGGGAAATCACCGAATACAAGTATGAAGGTGCTGAAAGGAGCAGAATGTGTCATTTAACCATGAGCAACTGAGCAATCCACCCCTAAGAAAATGATCATCCTGTTGTTAGATATTTTAAATACAAGTTCATTGGAAAGTAAAGAATTAACTCCTAGTTTAACCCTGCCAAGGAGACATCCATCTGCAAAGGGCTATCTGTGTGTACTGAAGTGTCTGGATTTTTACATTCCAAGAAGCATACAATGAAATACACTGGCATTTTCACAGCCAGCTATTCTCCAGCAGAGCCAACCTCTTTCCTTTGTTGTTTAGGAAGAATTTAAGTGCAAATCAAACTTATGGACCCAGTTCAGTTCCAGCTCAGAAGTTGGTTGTTTCTGTTACGTTTAGCTCATAGTTAATGTTCAGTTTGTCCTCAAACATGGTGTTTCACTAGTTTTAGACTTCCAGGGAAGTTGTTATAGCATCCACTGTGAAGTTTCACAGATAGCTGTAGGAGAAATCTTGATATCATCTGGCCTAACCACTTTCAGTCTCAAACTACTTCCCGAAGGTTTGAGAGAAAAACAAAAACCCTCAAATGGAGGAAGGTGAGCGGTCACAGAAAAGGAAGTTTCACAAACTTCTATCAGTCATCCAACATCTTGTTTCAGTGACACAGAGCAGGTGCTGCAAGCTGATAATGCATGTGAAGGAGCGGTATAAGCACAATGATTTCTCAGGGAGGAGGGAAAAGGGAGAATCAGAAGGAGGTTGAGAATGAAAACACTATTCTGGACTAAAAGCTCAACAAAATGGAGAGGTTACTGGTCAGCCAGCTGGACCAGTTGTTTTCTACTGTGCAAGTCTCCGCCTAGCTGGGGTGAGTGTAACAACACTAAAAGTACCTCTAATTTAGGTGCCTCACTCAGCTTTGAAATCAGAGCTGTGTATATTAGTGCTTCCTTGAGCCCAGAAACAAATAGTTTGTGGCCTTAAACTCATCACTGTTATACACAGCTAAGCCTCTCTAGTCTTTTGAAATGCCCTGTCATCTCTGTTCAAGGATATTCCTATATATGGGACATCCCCTATAATTTTTGCAAAACCCTCCAGCATGGTCCTCCAGCATCATACGGAAATAATTTTTCGCCATATACATTACCCCAACATGTTTTTTAGAAAACATCTCCACACCACAACACTTCTGTCTGCACAAAAAGGATTTTCCCTCCTAGTAAAAAAATCTCCTGGTAACTTGGGGAGGATGAAAACCAGTCCAGTCCCAGAGGGCCTCAACTTTTAGGCCAATTTCTTCTCTCATCTCCCTTCTCCTCATCGAAGAGCAGAGGCTCCTTTTCAATCCATTTATCCCCATGTGATGCTTTCATAGGATACTGGTTTCTTCAAAACTGTTCTTGGTTTGATTAATTTGAACTGGGCCTCAAGGTCAGTTCACAAATGCAAGTAAATTCAGAAGCTTCTAACACCTGCCATATTCAGAGCAAACTGACTACATGATTCTTGTCCATGAAATAAAGTTGAAAGCCTCTGCATTTCTTAGCATCATCTCCCCCGCCAAAGCAAAACAAAATCAAGAATATTCATATTACTTAAAAGAAAGCTAGATGGACAGAATCAGATTTTCTGGAAGATGGCAATGACTCTTCAGGTACTGCTAAGGAAAGGTCCATTTTAACAAGTCAAATCTTTTCAGTGGAGAAGTTTAATTTCATTATTTCCACTAAAATAAATGTCAAGCTATATAGTCAACACTCCGTTAGCACAAATCTACCCCTCATCTTTCCCAGCATCATGCTGGTCTTCAGATTAGATCTCCCATGGACCAAAACAGTTGTGCCCCAATGCAAGGACCTTGTATTCTACAGAACAAAACAACAGCATCTGCTCCTCTAGTGGCCGCAAACATCTCTGCAAGGAAAGGCCACATGTACAAAGACTAGCTGCTGGACCAGATGGCTAACTGTGCTGGACACCATATTTGGAGCAACATCTACAAAACAGTTTGCCTTTCTGTAACAGCCTGGCAATAAAGAAGCACCTCATGACTGGCTAGCAGTTTTTGCAGCTCTCATGCCTTTTGCAGTCACTCATTTGTTTTGAACCATTTCACCAAATGGGCCCATTTTCTGATCAGTCCTTTCATTTAAAAGACCAACCCCAAAATTCTCCACAAAACAAGGGGATGCTGTCCAAACAGCACAACTGGTCTATGGAATCACTCTTGCCCTGAAAATTTACTCCAGCTAGCAGGGGTAAATTTTGGAGTCACTCCTTAGTCAGGCCATGAACCATGCAGGAGCTCTTACCTTCCATAGATTAACCCCCTTTTTCCTCCCAAAAATTTTTCTAGGGTCTCTTTTGCCATAGGTAAAAGATTTGAGAAGCTAAAGGGTTAAGTGTTAATCTTGGAACAGACACCTTGGAAGCCAGATCCCCCTTTTAGGGGCTCATCTGGAAAAGTCAAAATGACAGCTTAGCAGGCTCCTTTAAGAGAAAATGGGTCTTGATATCCAGCAGAGGCAGAATCTGGGTGGCTAATCATTCTAAGCTTTGGATTCCTAACTCCCTTACGGCGTCAACCAACCGACAGCACCAGGGAAGGGGAGGTGTCCCCCTCAGCTGAGGAAGAAAGGAATTGGATTAGAGTCTGCAGATATTGTGGGTATGGAAGAGACAAAAGGAGTTTCTATACAATCCTGGAATGTATCATCCCACTCTTAGTTCTCACCCAATGATGTGGTGCTGCCATCAGCCTTGGGTTTTGATTTAGACTTAAAGGAGAAGCGTTTGATCAGGCGCCGGGAGAAGCTGTTGGCTTTTTTCCTGGTGGCAGAACTGGCATTGGTATTAGACAGGTCATCATGCGACTGGCTCAGGCCTGCTTCCTTCTGCTTGTTTTTCCTCCGGAAGATGAGCTTCGTGCCGCTCCGGAGAAAGCTGACTGCAGAAAGAGACAAAATGAAGAGGATGACAGATGAGGCTCTGCATTGGGAGCTTTCAACAAAATGGTTGTGTGCTTTACACCTCCCTGTGAAGGACCATCCTCAACCCCATTGTATATGTTAATCAAATACAGCAGGAAAGGGACATGCACAGAGTCAGTGCCTGAGTGGTGACTAGAATTAGAAGCACCCAAATTAGTCCTCTGCTCCAATCAGTAGACTTCAAAGTCTACTCTCTGGAGAAAGAATGAGACATACACAGTCCAGAAGAGGAGTCATAACTCAGCTAAGTGTCAGGGATTAGCTTGTTAGTCTGTAACTGCAAAAACAATGAGGAGTCCTGTGGCACCTTAAAGCCTAATAGATGTATTTGGTCATAAGCTTTTGTGGGTCAAGCCCACTTTAAGGTGTCACAGGGCTCCTCATTGTTATAATTCAGCTAAGTACTCTTCAGCTATTCCTACTATCCTGGAGCTTCCAAACATGCAAGGAAGATCTTGCTCCTCCCTCCAGAAACCATGTAATTTCCCCTATCTTCCCCTGAGCTGGGCCTGGAGTTCGTTCATGTCATACTCCTTTTCCATACCTGGGATGAGACAGATGGCCTAGGTTTAAATTGGGGAGGGTCAGTGATCCAGCTCGTGTGTCCCAAACAAGAAGGCAGTCTTTCAACCTCAGCATAGTAGAAAGGAGAGCCTGAGACACGAGGCCTGGTATATGGGGCCTGGCCTAGGGCCTAATGCTTGAGATAATGCCAGGCCTTCTGGAAACAAAGCAAAGTCTACAAGAGAGTCAGGCTCTGAGCACAAGTCAGGCCCTGTTACAAAACATGCCTGTTTGCAAGTTCACTGAACTTATCAGATATGGGAAAGGAACAGCAAGAACAGAAGCACTCCTAGGCACTAAGTATTCATGTATAAACATATTCCAGAAGGTTAGTGCAAGAACACCTCAATGTCAAGAAACACGTAAGCACGGTCTGCAAAGATAGCACAGGCACACCCTGGCCCTCTTAAATATAAGGCCAGGATTAGGGATGTTAAATATCAGTTAATTGAATAATTGAGTAACCACCTGAATTCTTATCGGTTAGTCAACTATTCTATAGTCCCCAGAGGTGGGGCCAGCAGCCATTGTGCTCTGGTCCCACCTCAGAGAAGCCCCCGTCACTCTGCGCAGCTGCCTCTGTATCAGAGACAGCAGCGCAGGGTGGCAGGCAGGAGCTGGTCCGTGAGGGGAGCCAGTTTAAAAAACAGCTCCCCTCATGGGACCTGGTGCAAGCTAGAACTGAGCTGGTCTGCCTGCCAGTCCAGGTCCTAAAACACTTTAAATTCAGAGCCGCACCAGGGTAGGTCCCAGACTCATCGCAATCCAGGACTAAGCCAGGCTGCTGGACAGTCTGATAAAAAATTACAGGCAAGGGAGAGGGAGGGAAATGTGCGTAGTCTGCAGTGTTAACTCTAAACTTTTGCTTATCGGTTAATCAACTGCACTATTACATCCCTAGCCAGGATGAGAGTGAGACGGATAGAGATGCTTTGATCAAACCAATACGCACAAGGTAAATGGCAGTAACAAAACACAACACAAGGGCAATATGTAACTTGTTGATATCAGTGTATAAAGAGATGTCTCAGGGCGGGGGGGGTCTTTGTCTGGTCAATGGAGGAAATGGCTGGTCCTCTGTAACAGGTGTACCTGCATAAATAGTCCTGTTGTGTCTACAGGATACTAGGACTCGGCTTTGTCAACAATAAACTTGGCCAGGAGCCTTTGCTACAAAACTGAGTCTGTGATCTTCTTGAGGCAGTTTGACTGAGGTCTGCTGTGTTCGTTATCTGTGCAGAACTGGGACAGCATACAACAACCAACACTCAAATTTCATTTTTTTCAAGTAAGGACAGGTCTACTCTTACAACACTGCAGCACTTCAGGTGAAGAAGCTATCTATGTCTACGGGAAAGTGTTTCGTGTCAGCATAGGTACAAAAACTACAAGAGGCAGAAGCATGTCAACGGGAGAATTCTCCCATCAGCTTTGAGCTATCTCCACCAGGGATTACACTACTGCAGCAGTTTTGCTCAAGGGTGTTAATTTTCCACATTCCCAAATAATCTAATTATACTAACCTAACTTCCTAACATAGACCTGGCCTAAATTGCTAGCAAAAATGTTCAGAGCCACAGCAAGGAACCTGAAAACATGTGATTCAGGCATTGCTTCATCAATCTACAGAGTCTGAGACAACAGCTCAGAGAAATGGGAACTGCACTACTATTGTCAGCAGGGTGCTGAACTCAGACAATACTTCTTTATTGTGGCAGGGTCGGTCCCACTCCTGGATTCCAGGCCCCTGTTCTGCCCCCTAACCAGCAGTTTAGGGGCCGCGGTACATGTTCCACTTGCCTTTTCTCCGTATGTGGCCTTCTGTCCCTTGGCAAAACAAAGGGGTGTTGAGGCCAATGCCCCCAACCAGTCAGGGCTGAGTAAGCAGTCCTCCTCAGCCACCGGCTGAAGTTTCTGGCCACCTGGGGGGAAGGGAGCCTCTAAACACTCCCTGTCGGAGCCCCTCCTTCAGCTCCCCCTGCAGCCTTTAGCAGTGCTGCTGTTGTTCTGCTCAGCTCCTCTGATTCTCCTTATTAGTTGTTCGTTCCTCTCCACCTCCATTCTCCAAACTCCTTCCCCACAAGGAAGGTTTTCAAAGAGGCCCCATGCCAGCCTGAAGTCACTCCACCTGGCCCTTTGTTGATTTATAGCAGCCCTGTCTCAGCTGCCTCTGATTAGCTAGGGCCCTTGCTGTTTTTTTCAGAGCTGCGTCTATCCCCTTCCATCAAGCCCTTCAATCTGCCCTGTCACATTATATTTAAATACTGAGAGCAATAGCGACTTTGCTTCTATCACAAAGAATGTGAGGATCAAGAGGGAGAAGCACATTACCACGATTACATGTGAGCTATTCTGAGAGATGTATTTTGGTGGTATTTGAGAGAAGTATCATCATTCCCGCTACATAGGGCAATCAAACATTCCAATAATATTGGGATCATTTCAAGACTAGGAGCTGTCTTACGTGTGTGATTGGACTCCTCCACCCAACCCCCAAAAGTGTCCCAATATTTCCACACTTGCTATCTAGTCACCCTATCCCATAATATAACCTGAGAAACAAGAAGAACATATGAACAGCCATACTGGGTCAGAATGAAAGGTCCATCTCGCCCAGTAGCCTGTCTGTAGACAGTGGCCAATACAAGATGCCCCAAAGGGAGGGAACACAACAGGTAATCCTCACATGATCCCTCTCCTGTCACCCATTTACGGACAAACAGAGGCTAGGGACACCATTCCTACCTATCCTAGCTAACAGCCATTGATGGAACTACACACCATTAATCTATCTAGCTCTTTTTTAACCCTGTTCAAGTCCCAGTCTTCACCACATCCTCTGGCAAGGAGTTTCAGAGGTTGACGGTGCACTGAGTGAAGAAACATTTCCTTTTGTTTGTTTTAAACTTACTGCCTATTAATTTCATTTGGTGACTCCCAGTTCTTATATTGTGGGAATAAGTAAATAACTTTTCCTTATTCACTTTTTCCACACCACTCATGATTTTATAGACCTCTATCATATACCCCCTTTGTCTCCCCTTTTCTAAGGCAAAAAGCCCAAGTCTTTTTAATCTCTTTTCATAGTCCACAGAGTAAGGCTGAAGCTCTGGTCCAAAAGAGATCCTGTCTCAGGGCACTCATCAGCTAGCCCCCAAGCCTAGTGAGCTGGTCTGCTCAATGATGGGTTTGGAGGGCCAGGTAGATTCTTCCCTACCTAGAGGCTGTCTCCAGCAGAGAAAGGAGTAGCAGTCTGCTCATTTGGACAGGCATCACCGCATCAGTTATACTCAGTTCACATTTTCAAGTTTTTCTTAACAACCACAAGGGTTAGACAACAGTTTTCATTTCAAAATGAAATACATCAAAATCTCAGGATTGACCAGAAGCCTTAGAGATGCATCTATTGCGCTTTGCCTTAATCCAGTCCTAAGGTTGTATTTCATCCATATTTAAAGAGAGAGTCAGGTCAAGAAGCCCGGCAGAGTACATGTGATTGTACCGTATTTTGACCATCCACACAATATGCTTTGAGCTGTATTTCAAGAGGGTAGAACTTGCCTTGTAGCTGCAGCTCGGGGGAATGCCACCACTTTATTTCCAGTTGAGCTGTGGGGATACACTAGCCTGCCTCTTCACAAAGTGGTTGGAGTGGGCAAGAGATCAGCTCAATGATTTAGTGTGCCAATTTCTTGCTTATCTTTTTACCCCTCTTGTCCATTTCCTCCATGACCACTGGATCTAGCTTGTTGCTAGTGATCTCAATGCAATTCTGCAATTTTAGCTCGCAGGCTAATCAATATGGGGGCAAGATTCCCTCCTATTAAAAATCTTTTTTCCCCAAAGTTCATCTTTTGCTCCATGACAACAGATCTGGGAAAGTTAGGGAGGAGTTCCACACCATTTTCTTACTTTGGCAAATGTGGCAGGATAATTGCACTGGAGCTACAATTTAGGCCACCTATCAATATTTAGCCTATGTAGCAGAGGAGGTTGGTTCTTTTACCTTAACTACAGCAGAACCTCCATCACATAATTCACGCGTACACCTAACACCAGCTCCAACTCTCAAAGTTTGAACAGACACTAGATCCAGGTCTCCTGTGATAGAGCCACTGTAATTCATGAACTATACCTACAGAAAAAAAATACAAAACAACAAATGATCCTGCAGCACCTTAGAGACTAACAAAAACTATAGATGTATCATGAGCTTTTGTGATCACAATCCACTTCTTCAGATCACTGGAATGAGGATTTTCATCTGAAGTGGGTTGTGCCCATGAAAGCTCATTATATCATCTACATTTTGTGTTAGTCTCGAAGGTGCTGCAGGACCATTCATTGTTTGAGGTTTTTTCAGTTAGGATAGTCTGCACAGCAGGGATAAAGCCAAAATACACTGCGCAATTTCAGCTAGGTCAATTGCGTAGCTTAAATTGAAATAGCTTATTTCAGCTCTTGGCACCACCTACACAGCAGGAAATCCGAGGTAGATCATTCTTCGTCCGACTTCACTTACTCCTCATAAAATAAGAGTTACAGGAGTCAGAGTAAGAAGTCCTCCAGCTTGCTGTTATTTCAACATTATGTCAAAATAGTCTGAATCTACACTACAAGCAGTTATGTTATTTCAGAATAACATCAGTCATTCTGAAATAACACTTCTGTGTAGACATACCCTTACAGACTAACACAGTTACCCCTCAGACTTTTATAGCTACGGAGTATTTACCTATCTACTCTGAAAAGTTAGACTATATTTTTAATGCATCCTGTTCATTTTATTTGCTTTCAATTAGCTGATTAATTAGCAAAATATCCTAGCTAGCTGTGTGAATTACAGGAGAACAGCTCACCTTGATTTGCTCACAAGAAGTGACTGCCTAAGAAAAACTCCAAACCCTTATGAAAGTAGCCATAACCACCCATTCAGAACATTCCTCCCACACCCCCCCGGCGCCCCATTAGAAAAGCAGCATAACAGAACACAAGTGATGTTAACTACATCAGGTGCAAGAGGAAGATGTTCCACTGCCAAAGTATAAGGCAGTCATATCATCCCCTAGCCCCTGCTGTGCTGAATAAAACACACACTCATCCTCACCTTTATGATCCTTTAAGCTCCTGGTCTCAAGTGCTCCTGTGGAGCCAGTTTCAGATTCCACATCCTCCACTGAGGGTCTCTCAGAGACGTCTGATCTTGTGGTCTCATCCAGCTCCTGACTAGCCCTCTCCCCTGAGAATGATGCTTCCAACAGCTGGGATGGCTCAGCTGTGTCCTGCATGTGGTCGGACAGGTCTGCCAATATGGAGTAGCCGTGCATGGTGGCCTCCATAGATGCGGCATAGCCAAGAGAAAGTGCCATTTCATCTTGGGCAATTGGTACCTGAAGGAGATATAGAAGTCAAACAGGAAGAAGCTAGGAGTTAAAGTTCACAAATAACCTTTGTTTCCATTGTATCATCTCCTCCTCCTCTCCCTGGAAAGAAAAAAAAAAATGTGCTCAAGCCTTTCCATCACCAAGAGGAAAATGAGCTTCTGGGGGAAGGATAGAGGGGAGAGGAGAAGCTACAAAATTATATTTCAGATCATGAAACTGCCCCATGAGAGGAACATCAGATGGGACTTTGAAGCTCAGGATGGATGGGCTTTCCACACATTTTTACACATTACAAAACCCAATATTTTAATGCTTAAGCCTACAAGTTTTGTTTCCTGAGAGGAGCCAATGCCCCAGTATAATGCTAGGAAAGTGCATGTTTTTATAGTTGCCATTATTTGATGAGACACACTGGACATGTGTGGATCTCAGAGCATAGCATGGTTCTCCTACTCCTCTGTTCTTCCGTTAAAGATATCTAGCAAAATCCCATTCCCCTTTACTAAGTCCCCCATGTTTCAACTAGACATTACATCATCTTCACTCACTTTCTACCCTGCTTCTGTGACCTGTTTAACCTCCAAGGAAAGTTGCATTTCAGTTGTGGGAATGTGCTTTGAGATCCTTTGTGAGGCAACGCTATATGAATGCAAGCTATTATTCAGCACAAATAGATTATTTTGCACATGAGGTCGCCTGCCAGACAAAAATATCATGACACCCATAGTCCTGTTAACAATCACCAATGCAAAAGTTTGGAGGAGAGTTCCCAGATCCCAGTTACCTTGGAAACTCCTGAGATGATAAGTGTGCTGCGTTTTGTAGGGGTCTTCTTGGCAGGTTTGTTATTCATTTCAGTCAACTGCCTGATTGCGGTCTCAGCCACAGGATCCAAGCCATTGGACATGTGACTGTCCCCTGTAGACAAAAGAGGACACAGCCCACAGATATGACTCCAGTGTTCCTGAGCAGACAATCCATCTCCAGACTGTGATGCTTCTGGGATGTGAACTGAAGAGAGTTGGCAGTTTTTTAAAGGGACATTACTAAGGGCCCAAAAGCAAATGATTCCACTGCGTAGGAAAGATAGAAAGTATGGCAGGAGATCACTTTGAATCAACCAGGAGATATTATATGATCTAAAAATCAAAAAGGAGTCTCATAAAAAGTAGAACTAGGTCAAATTAAAAAGAATGAATATAGGCAAACAATACAGGTATGCAGGGGCAAGATTAGAAAGGCAAAAAGACACAAAATAAGCTAATTTCTAGCTAGAGATATAAAGGGGAACAGGATGACATTCTACAAGAATATTAGAAGCAAGTGGAAGACCAAGGACAGGTTAGGCCTATTGCTCAGTGAAGAGGGAGACACAATAACAAGAAACTTGGACATGGCATGGGGCCTTAATGACTTCCTTGTTTCGGTTTTCGTCAAGAAGATGGATGACAATAGGATGCCTAACATAGTGAATGCTAGTGGAAATTGGATAGGTTTAGAAGTTAAAATAAAAAAAATTAAGTTAAAAATTACTTAGAAAAGTTAGATGTCTGCAAGTCACCAGGGCCTGATGAAATGTGTCCTAGAATACTCAGGGAGCTGATAGAGGAGGTATCTGAGCCTTTATCATCTTTGAAAAATCATGGAAGTCAGAGGAGATTCCAGAAGACTGGAAAAGGGCCAATATAGTGCCCATCTATAAAAAGGGAAATAAGAACAACCCAGGAAACTGCAGACCAGTCAGTTTAGTTTCTGTGACCAGGAAGATAATGGAGCAAATAATTAAGGAATCCATCTGAAGAATAATAAGGTGACAGGTAACAGCCAGCATGGATTTGTAAAAAGAATAAATCATGTCAAACCAATCTGAGAACTTTCTTTGATAGGCTATCAAGCCTTGTGGATAAGGGAGAAGCTGTGGACATGGAATACCTAGACTTTAGTAAGGCATTTGACATGGTCTTACATGACCTTCTTTTCAATAAACTGGGGAAATAAAACCTAGATGGACTGACTATAAGGTGGGCATGTAAGAATGGCCATACTGGGTCGGACCAAAGGTCCATCCAGCCCAGGATCCTGTCTACCGACAGTGGCCAATGCCAGGTGCCCCAGAGGGAGTAAACCAAACAGGTAACGATCAAGCCATCTCTCTCCTGCCATCCATCCTTACCCTCTGACAAACAGAGGCCAGGGACACCATTCCTTACCCATCCTGGCTAATAGCCATTAATGGACTTAACCTCCAAGAATTTATCTATTTCTCTTTTAAACCCTGTTCTAGTCCTAGCCTTCACAACCTCCTCAGGCAAGGAGTTCCACAGATTGACTGTGCACTGTATGAAGAAGAATATCCTTTTATTGGTTTTAAACTTGCTGCCCATTTATTTCATTTGGTGGCCCCTAGTTCTTATATTATGGGAACAAGTAAATAACTTTCCCTTATTAACTTTCTTCACAACACTCATGATTTTATAGACCTCTATCATATCCCCCCTTAGTCTCCACTTTTCCAAGCTGAAAAGTCCTAGTCTCTTTAATCTCTCCTCATATGGGACCTGTTCCAAACCCGTAATCATTTTAGTTGCCCTTTTATGAACTTTTTCTAATGCCAATATATCTTTTTTGAGATGCGGATACTACATCTGTATGCAGTATTCAAGATGTGGGCGTACCATGGATTTATGGAAGGGCAATAAGATATTCTCCGTCTTATTCTCTATCCCTTTTTTAATGATTCCTAACATTCTATTTGCTTTTTTGACTGCCGCTGCACACTGTGTGGACGACTTCAGAGAACTATCCATGATGACTAAGTTCTCTTTCCTGATTAGTTGTAGCTAAATTAGCCCCCCACCATATTGTATGTATAGTTGGGGTTATGTTTTTCCCCCCAATGTGCATTTCTGTACATTTATTCACATTTAATTTCATTTGCCATTTTGTTGCCCAGTCACTTAGTTTGGTGAGATCTTTTTTAAGTTCTTCAGTCTGCTTTGGTCTTAACTATCTTGAGCAGTTGAGTATAGTCTGCAAACTTTGCCACCTCACTGTTTACCCTTTTTCTAGATCATTTATGAATAAGTTGAATAGAATTGGTCCTAGGACTGACTTGTGGTCAACACCACTAGTAACCCCTCCCCATTCTGAAAATTTACCATTTATTCCTACCCTTTGTTTCCTGTCTTTTAACCAGTTCTCAATCCATTAAAGGATCTTCCCTATTATTCCATGACAACTTAATTTACGTAAGAGCTTTTGGTGAGGGACCTTCTCAAAGGCTTTCTGGAATCTAAGTACACTGTATTTACTGGATCCCCCTTGTGCACGTTTGTGGACGCCTTCAAAGAACTCTAACGGTACGTCTACACTAGCCCCCTAGTTCGAATTAGGGAGGCTAATGAGGGTGACCGAAGATGCTAATGAAGCGTGGGATTTAAATATCCCATGCTTGATTAGCATAATCCCAAACAGTCGCCATTTTGGAAACTGGCTAGCCGGAAGTAACTGCCTGCGTCTATACGCGGCAGAGAAGCAGGATTCCGAGATAAATCCCTTAGTTCAAATTAACTGTTACTCCTCGTGGAATGAAGTTTAACAGTTAATTCGAACTAAGGGGTTTATCTCGGAATCCCGCTTCTGTGCCGCGTATAGACGCGGGCAGTTACTTTGGGCTAGTCAGTTTCCAAAATGGCAAGTGGCCGGGATTATGCTAATCAAGCGCGGGATATTTAAATCCCGCGCTTCATTAGCAACTTCGGTCACCCTCATTAGCCTCTCTAGTTCGAACTAGGGGGCTAGTGTAGATGTACCCTAATAGAGTAGTAAGACATAATTTCTCTTTGCAGGGACTTTTGCCCAACAAATTATGTTCTTCTATGTGTCTGACAATTATATTCTTTACTATTGTTTCAACTAATTTACCCGGTACTGACGTTAGACTTACTGGTCTGTAATTCCCGGGATCGCCTCTAGAACCCTCTTTAAATATTGGCGTTACATTAGCTATCTTCCAGTCATTGGGTACAGAAGCTGTTTTAAAGGATAGGTTACAAACCATATTTAATAGTTCCACAATTTCACATTTGAGTTCTTTCAGAACTCTTGGGTGAATGCCATCTGGTCTTGGTGACTTATTACTGTTAAGTTTATCAATTAATTCCAAAACCTCCTCTATGACACTGCAATCTGTGACAATTCCTCAGATTTGTCACCTACAAATGATGGCTCAGGTTTGGGAATCTCCCTAACATCCTCAGCCATGAAGACTGAAACAACGAATTCATTTTAGTTTCTCTGCAATTACTTTATCGTCTTTAAGTGCTCCTTTTGTATTTCGATCGTCCAGGAACCCCACTGGCTGTTTAACCGGCTTCCTGCTTCGGATGTACTTAAAAAACATTTTGTTATTACCTTTTGAGTTTTTGGCTAGCTGTTCTTCTAACTCCTTTTTGGCTTTTCTTATTACATTTTTACACTTCATTTGGCAGTGTTTATGCTCTTTTCTATTTTCCTCACTAGGACTTGACTTCCACCTTTTAAAGAGATGTCTTTTTCTCTCGCTGCTTCTTTTACATGGTTGTTCAGCCACAGTGGTTCTTTTTTAGTTCTTTTAGTGTGTTTTTTAATTTGGGGTATACAGCTAAATTGGACCTCTATTATGGTGTCAATATGGGGATAATTGAAATCGCCTACTATTATTGAGTGTTTTATTTTGATAGACTCTCTAATCTCCCTTAGCATTTCATAATCACTATCACTGTCCTGGTCAGGGGGTTGATAATATATCCCTACTGTTACATTCTTATTAGAGCATGGAATTACTATCCATAGAGATTCTATGAAACATGTTGATTCATTTAAGATTTTTACTTCATTTGCTTCTATATTTTCTTTCACATATTCTGCCACTCCCCAGACTCCTCTTCTGCACGACCTGTTCTGTCCTTCCGATATATTTTGTACCCTGGTAAGATTGTGTCCCATTGATTGTCCTCATTCCACCAGGTTTCTGCGATGCCTATTATATCAACATCCTCCTTTAACACAAGGCACTCTAGTTCACCCATCTTATTATTTAGACTTCTAGCATTTGTGTACAAGCACTTTAAAAACTTGTCACTGTTTATTTGTCTGCCCTTTTCTGATGTGTCAGATTCTATTTTATGTGAATGTTTCTCATCTGATCTAGCCCATATTTTATCCTCCTCCATCCTCTCCTCCTGACTAAAACCTAGAAAATATCAATAGACTCTCCTCTAAGAGAAGTCTCTGTCCGATCCACATGCTCCTCTCCACCAATCCGCATCTCTTAGTTTAAAAAATGCTCTGCAGCCTTTTTAAATGTTAAGTGGCAGCAGTCTGGATCCACTTTGGTGTAGGGATCCATTCTTCCTGTATAGGCTCCCCCTATCCCAAAAGTTTCCACAGTTCCTTATAAATCTAAACCCCTCCACCGTATACCATCGTCTCATCCATGCATTGGGACTCTGAAGCTCTGCCTGCCTACCTGACCCTATGCATGGAACTGGAAACATTTCTGAGAATGACACCATTGAGGTCCTGGATTTCAGTCTCTTTCCTAGCAGCCTAAATTTGGCCTCCAGGACCTCTCTCCTACCCTTCCCTACGTCACTGGTACCTACATATCCCACAACTACAGGCTCCTCTCCAGCATGACACATAAGTCTATCTAGATGCCTCAAGAGATCCGCAACCTTCACACCAGGTACGCAAGTCACCATACAGTTCTCCTGATCATTACAAACCCAGCTATTTATGTTCCTAATGATCAAATCTCCCACTACTAACACCTGCCTTTTCCTAATGACTGGAGTTCCCTCCCCCGGAGAGGTAACCTGAGTGCAAAGGGATACCTCAAAATCATCTGGAAGGAGGGTCCCAACTATGAGAAGGTT